TAGAATAGTGATGTGAATTTGATGTCCTTGAAAACAAGTTCAAAATATGAAGTGGTGCATTTCTTTCGTCCATGTCGTGCATTAAGTTTAAGACAGATTCATATACAAGAAATTTAATGGCAGTACTTTAGCTTTTACGAATAAAGGAATAGCATGATCTTGTCTGTTTGCAGAATATATTAAGCATAGTGCACAAACACAGGATGGATACAATTTTAAGTAAGTATGACTGATCATTAATGCAGTATCGGTATTTCGTCAATTTTGGATACATTAATTCAGTATTTGCCAATTTTTCTTAAGGTATTCCGGTATTGAGTATCTCCCAATGTCCCCCCTCCTTAAGATGTTTAGCCTTTCCTCTTTAACTACAACTGCCCTGGCCTTTAGGTAAGAGGTACTATAAGCTTAATTTAAGGCTACAAGCTCACCAAAAATTTTCCACATCTCATGAAGATCGTGGTTTTCCAAGGTTTAGAGTCAGCACTTCGACCAGAACAGCCTCCACCTCCGTACTCTATTCTAAAGCCTGCAGCTTCATTACCTTTGTTTGCAATCTTAGACCCTAGATTTTCTCCGTTCTTTGAATCGTCTCCATCTAGTGGTTTAGAGCAAACCGCATAGTCTTTACATTTCTTAACATCAACACGACCGCAGACATTAATGTAAAATGCCTTCTTTGTGTTATATTCCACAACCTTCCACGTCCTAGGATAAAAAGAAAACATGCAAAACGAGTTTCAGTTAAACTACCGCATGATGAGGAAGTTTGGTTTCGATACGATGTTTGTTTTGGTCCAGTGATTCTTGAAAATATGAAAAGGATGAATCAATTGGCAAAAATTCTCACCAGTTTGTGATTGAGTATTCAGATTTTCCTACTGTGATTTTGCATTTCGATGGAAGGTTGGCGAAAGTGGACGGGCAAAGAAGAAACAGCAACCAAAGAATTGCTTGAAAGCCTTTCAGTTCATCCGCCATTTTGGATGTTGCACCTGCGCATGCGATCTCCGTCAACGTCACCGACATGTTCAAAAGTCCTGACCGTCTGACAGTCACGTCATCTCGTGATGATCACAGGTTCGAAAACATTTGTTTGGTCACACCCCTTGTCAAACTCCAGCAAATCAATGCATAGCCTGCGTGGCAGGCGTTTGGAGGGGAAGGGAAAGGGAGTTTTATGCGCGAGAGAAACCTTATCAATGCAACGAGTTCCGTACGTACAAATACCCAATTATCCATTTGCACAGCGCCCAGACTGGCGACTGGCTGGAACTGAATAGACTGTCCCAGCGGGGGGGAGGGAGGGGGTTTGATTCTTATACCACGGGGCTATACCTGAAACTTTTTAAAGAGGGTGAAGGTCAGCGATAAGCAGTCTACATTTGTGGTACAAACCTTTTTTTTATAAATTATTCTATGATGTTGGTTAAAAACTACTTAATTCTGTACAACAGGTGTCACAAAATGAATAAGGGTCATGAAATACAGTCCCGTCTTTCTAGACTGCATAACTGGAATTGAGGTGTTATTTTTTCGCCTTTTTCAGATGAGCAAAAGCGAGCGAAGGCAAGCGTGAAGTGAGCAAGGAGCGCCAGACACGGGCGAAGAGGGAAGGCACAGAAAGAGTAAGTTGTTACTTTTTCTGCGCCGTCCCCACAGGGTCCAGAGGAGGTGTGTTTGTCGTTAGAACATCAAAACCCGTCGAAAACCTCTGAAAAAATGGGTTATTTTGATCGCGTTACAGTTTCGTTACAACAAAGTCGATCTGGGTCAGATAAGGGACGGACCATTAGAAAACTTATCGGGGGGCTGGCGAAGTACAAAAAAATATTCGCGCAAGGGAAAATTAAATGAAAAAAATTCATGCACGCCAATTAATCCTAAAAAATATTCATGGTATGGCCTGAAAAAATTCATACAAGGAATTTGATAGCCTGCGCGCAGACGAAATTAAACTCAGAGTTTAGTTATCGTCTGCACGCAGGCTAGGAATTTGATAACGAAAAAAATTCCTGCAGCTCGAAAATTCCCCTTCCCCCCCCCCCCCCCCCCATAACTTTTCTAATGGTCCGTCCCTAAGAAGCGAAGAAATCGTTTACAGTAGATTCATAAAGATCCCATTGGGCTAATCAATCGTGCTATTAGCGACAGGTATAGAAATGTTCATTTTTCAAGGTGAGACTTTAAATAAGTGAGTCATTTATTCACACGAAACTCCTTTGGACCCTGTGGCTTCACGCTTGCCTTCGCACGCCTGAAAAACGCCAAAAAAATCGCCTGTTACACAGTTTACATCTTTAACAGGGCAAGGTTGAAACGCCTCGGTGGCACACCTCTTCCCTTGAGTTTTAGGGGCGGTGCCTCGCATGGGACGTTAGTCTCGTTGCACCTACCCCTTTTGGGTTTTTTCTTCATTTTTTTTGTGTGTGTGTTTGTGTGTGTGTGTGTGTGTGTGTGTGTGTTGTATTATAAATTTATATTGTATATCACAAGAGGAGCACCCAATAAAGCTGTGGAAAAAAAAATTTCCCCGGGGATTCAGGCAACATGTGATAGAGAACCGATGACGGTGACATAGATGTAAATAGAAATCTCAATGTGGACACAATTGCCATGTCGTTGTTCAACTGGTTGTTGTTGTTTCCCAACAGAAATTTGTTTCTTGTTTCTGAGTGGCTGAATTTTCAGAAGTGAGGTGTGACTCAAATAACATGCACTAGGCGCTAGTCTTAAAGGAAGTCAGACTGAGAGAACCAACCTCCATAGCTCCAGAATAGATCTTTTGTTGCTATACTGAGCCAAGAGGCCAAAAAAGGCCGAGCAAGTCCTGAGTTAAGGAGATATAGTTCATGAAATAAAAATAATGAAGGAGTGCGTAAAGATATTGTGCCGCATAACACTCATGTAGAAGACACAAATGATAAGACAATTATATTGGTCTCATAAATCGCCCATTTCCTGACTTCAATACTGAATCAAGTAAATTCAGGTCTAAAAGACATCACCGGAGAAAAAAAATCCCCTTTTTTGAGTGTCAATGTTAGCAAGAAAGTACTAATGGGCTATTTCCAAGTTTCCCCAGGTCTCCGTTTCAAAACGAGGGTAGGCGCCCTCATGCAAATAAAACTCATTTTCACAAGAAAGGTTGTGCACCTAGCCTCATTTTGAGAGTGAGGGTTTTTGGAACTCGGAAGTGGCCTATTGGGGATTAGCACGGCCCCGGAAATCGAACCCACGACTTCCCGCTCTGCAGTCAAGCGTTCGCCTACTGAGCTACTCCGGCCACGGTTATCACCAACAACATGCAAGTGTCTAAGCTTTCAATTGTTTTTTTTTTTTCCACAGTGTAAAAATAGTCTGGAGCTCCTGACTCCTCAAAGCAGTTTGCCTTACATGTCATTACACTTGGAAATCCAGCTAGTTACCCCTGGCGCAACTTGTAAACGACCAATCTCCTCCCCCCCCGCCCCCAATTACTATAAGAATCTATTGACACAGTTATTTCATGAGAGCTGCATTATACTTATAATTTGTAACCTCTAGTTAAAATTATGACTACCTGAAATACAAAACTCATCAGATATTTTAAAAAAAGGTGGTTAATTGAAAGCTCGGTGAGGAAATGAGAAATGATGTGATCAATACGTCACGAGCATGGGACAAAGAAAAAATTTGTGTCCCCCGACAGCAATTGAACCTATGACCATCCATTCACCGCGTCGGATGCTCTAACCACTGAGAAAGATGGTAAATTTAAAGCTCGGTGAAGCTCAATTCCTGTCGGGGACTCAGATTTTTTTTCCGTTGTCTCATGCTCGTGACATGTTGATCACATCATTTCTCAAAACGATTTGTAAAAACCAGTGAAACTCGCGATTTAAGTAAAACAAGGAGTACAAAGAAGCCACTGAGGAGTCAACACAATAGAACCAAGGAAAATAATACCTAGAAAACAGAGAAAAACTTCATAGGTTTTTACAGCGAAATTCATCCGTCATACAGAGTTCGAGGGTACATGAGATGCGCGCGCAGGTCATTTCGTCACAAAGCTGGTCAGTATTCTAATCTCAGCTCTTAACCATTATCGAGAGAGGATGTAACCATTCACTTCTTAATTTGGAAAACAACAAGTCGTTTTTCAACTCATTCGACGCTGCAATACGCGATGTATCATTTTCCTAAACCATTTGAAGAGGAACAGAGGAAAGAAAGGAAGCGTGCACGAAGACGACGTCGCAGAGAAACAACGCAAAAACTAATTTCGAGTCGCAGGGAACAACCTCAGCAGGCCACATTTCCCGTTATCGTAGAGCGCACGAGGGCTTTGAGCCCACCGACGTCAAGGCACAGAAGTAGGAAGTACTATTCTCCAGATTTTTCTTCCTCTCATAGTGGTTACGAATCTGAATACAGTGATGGTGAAGAATTTTACGGTATGGGTTGTGTCAATCGAGAAAGCACAGTATCTCACAGCACAAGATCCAAGCTTCCCGCGCCAAAGACGCATGTAGGAGAGTCAAGCTATCAGAAGAAGCGCTCAAAAAAGAAAAAGAGAGGATTAAAGCTAGATGAGGATTACAGCCATCCCTTATACCCATCGTTTTTAGAGAGACCACCATCCCGAAATGGAGTTAATTTTGCTATGGACTCGCCTTTCAGAAACATGGATCCTATCCCTGCAAGAAAAAGTAAGGAGAATATGCCTGGATTCAGTGAACTATCTGAGCTAAAAAGCCTCAAAAAGCCAAATAAACTACCTCCCATAGACAAGGACAATAGAATGCACACAGATGAGTTTCCTTTCGGAATGAAACGTTTTTGAGCAAACGAATGATTTCAAATTCGCCCGATACTAAAATAATCCTAATAATGTAAAGTAATTTTCGTCGCATTTACGACTTTAAAAAGCTCATTCTTCTTTTAATCGTAAGCCCCATTTTATTTGTATCACTTTATTTTTCAGAGTGTTGCATTAAAGCAGTTGAACCTTCATTCATCCCTGTTTCAATCATTCTGTCTGGTGCGAAACCAATCAAAATGCAAAACTGCAGTCCAGTAGCTCTTACACATCTATAGAGCTGATTTTGTTCCCATTCTTCATATCTTCCGGTAAACAACAGAACAAACTTGAGCTGATCTTAACATTTCAACAGGCATTTCTATTACCTGTATTTTATGTTTTCTTACAAAATAAAAAAGGGCGAAGAAAGTCTTTTCTTTACACGATTAATAGTTGAAATGAAAAAGAAAACGGTTCGCCAGGGCCATCGGGATGTGTACGTTCGTATACAGTATTGAGAAGGTCGATAAGGCACGGTTCGATGATTTCAACTGTACAGCTGTTCCCAGCTGGTAGTGCCATCTGGCCCCAGTTACAGTCAAATGCCTGGACAGGCTCATGATCCAGCGGATAGGAATCAGAGAAACCAACAAAGGCGCCATTCACTGAGTGGATAGAGATTTATCCGGTGGATGGCATTATCCACCCTTTGAACAACTTGGGCCAGTTAGATAAATCCTTAACTAGCCGGATGAAGTAATTTATTTCCCTACCTCTTATCCACTGGATTTTGCTATCTAGTGGATAAATAGTGCTATCCAACTTTTGTACAACTGGGGCTTTTTCATACCTGTTTCCTGTTGGACTAAACATGCAAAATTCATATTATGTGGCTCGTGACGAACTATATATACGCACGCGCGGTCTAAATTTCTTCATTCCTTTGCTCTGTTATATGAGTATGGTAGTTGATAATCATGATTCTTCCGCACGACCTGTTGTTTATTACCATTTCTGAATTCTGAGTAAAACTGGTACCTATACCCTTTTCACACATTTAGCCATTTCGGTAAACAACAGATGGAAATTAACCCACAGATTGTAAATCGACATTTTTTGCCAAATAGTATTGGTAATTATAGGGATTGACACTAACAAGAAAATTAAGACATGCACTAATAAACTGTTCGTTTTTGGGCTGAAATGTCTGGGAATGAACCTCATGACCAGTCATCATAAAGTGTCACCAAAATGGACGTAATTCTGTCCAATGCAAATTAACTGAAAAGGCAATGGTCAGTCACAAATAACTTGTGTTTAACACCTGGTCAATCAATGCCTTTAAAGAAGAAATCGTACTGAAACCACAAAATAAACAAACGGACCAAAAGGCTCACCGCTACTGACTAAGTCAGTGCCACATAAACGTTTCTTGTTTTCACACA